AACCTCCCAACTGCTCCTTTTTTCTTTTTTTTTTTTAATTCTGGGCCAGCTTTAGCTCTGGGTCCAGCTCTGAGGCCTCTGCTGCTGAAAGCAGGTATCTGGTTTGTTTGGGTTCTATAATCAAAACACTGTATCAACTCCAGCTCTGAGATCCCAGCGGGCTGAAAGCAGATTTCTGGGGTTTTGTTTAGCTTCTATATTTGTAACAATGTTTCAAACTGCAAGCTCAGAGGCCGGCAAGGCAGGCGGGGAATGTTGGTTTCCTCCGTCACTGAAGCAAGCAAGCCTCATGTTAGCGTCAAGCTGCCTGGCTTCCGGCCGCTGTCTTGTCTGGCAGTTAATTTGCATATCTCGCTAATTAGCCAACTGGAAGGATAGCGGATGTACGCTAATTACCATGTTTCTCTTTTATTAGATAGGATAATGAACATCATAAACTGATGAACAGAATAGATACAGAGACAAAGAAGCAGCAAACAGACTGTGAAACTACTGCGGGAAGGCAGGGGAGGGTCATGGGGGAAGGGTAAGAGATCAACCAAAGGACTGGCATGCATGCATAAAAGGATAACCAATGGACACAGACACTGGTGGGGCAGGGGTGAGAGCATGTGCTGGAGGGTAGGGGAGGCCAGGGGGAGGTCAATGAGGGGAAAAGAGACATTTGTGCTACTATTTGTAATACTTTAAACAATAAAAATAAAATAAAATAAAATGAAAGTCTGAAGCCTGAGCATGGACAGGTCATTCATATGGAAAAGCTGCTGCAAACAGCTTGGGTGGGGCTGCAAATTGGATGTGGTGCGGTCTCAGGGAATGACCAGGGTAGAGTGAACAGTGTGGGCCAGAATGGACTGGGGAGGTTGAGACACTGGACCCTACAGGTCACCTACTACACAAGGCCACTCTACGAATTCCAGAAGACATAGCAGCTCTACCTAATACATAGAAACAAACACAGGGGAGTAGCCAAAATGCAGAAATAAAGAAACATGTCACAAATGAAAGAAATGGAAACAAGCAAACTACTGGATACAGAGTTCAAAGCCATGGTTATAAGGTTACTTAAGGATCTTCATGAGACTTTCAAGGATCTTAGTGAGAATTTTAAAGACCTGAAAAGGGATCAGTCAGAAATTAAGCATACACTAACTGAAATAAAGAATATTTTACAGGGATTCAGCAGCAGAGGAGAAGATTCTGAGAATCAAATCAACAATTTGGAATATGAGGAAGCAAAAAAAGAAAAAAATCAGAAGAGCAAAAAGAATCCAAAAATATGAAGATAGTTTGAGGAGCCTCTGGGACAACTTCAAATGTACCAACATTCACATTATGGGGATGCCAGAAGGAGAAGGGAGAGAGCAAGATATTGAAAACCTATTTGAAGAAATAATGACCAAAAACTTCCCCTAACTGGTGAAAGAAATAGACTTACAAGTCCAAAAGAGAAGAGTTCCAAACAAGAACAACCCAAAGAGGCCCACACCAAGACACACCACAATAAAATGCCAAGGGTTAAAGACAAAGATAGAATCTTATATGCTGCAAGAGAAAAGCAGTTTGTTACCTACAAGGGAGCACCCATACAACTGTCAGCTGATTTCTCAACAGAAACTTTACAGGCCAGAGGAAGTGGCAAGAAATATTCAAAGTGAGGAATAGAAAGGACCTACAACCAAGATTACTCTACCCAGAAAAGCTATCATTTAGAATTGAAGGTCAGATAAGGAGCTTCACAGACAAGAAAAAAACTAAAGGAGTTCATCACCACCAAACCAGTATTAAATGAAATGCTGGGTATTCTTTAAGAAGAGGAAGAAGAAGATCAAAAATGTGAACAATAAAATGTCAATAAATACATATCTATCAGCAATTGGATCTAAAAATCAAATTAACAAGGAATGTAATGAACAACGTAACAGATGAATAAAATAGAACCAGACACATGAAAACATGGAACAGACTGAAGAATCTCAGAGGGAAGGGTGGGGGAAGAGCTTGACCAAAGATTTCATTTGCATACTAGAGGCCCAGTGCATGACATTCGTGCACTGGAACGGGGGAGGGAGGTTTCCCTCAACTCAGCCTGCACCCTCTCGCAGTCCGGGACAACTCAGGGGTCCTTAGCACTGCCTTGGAGGCGGAAGAGGCTCCCACTACCACCGCTGCACTCACCAGCCATCAGCCAGGCTTCTGGCTGAGTGGCGCTCCCCCATGGAATTGCACTGACCACACAGGGGCAGCTCCTGCTTTGAGCGCCTGCCCCCGGATGGTCAGTGCACATCATTTGGACTGGTTGTTCCACCGTTTGGTCAATTTGCATATTATGGTTTTATTATATAAGACCAGAGGCCCAGTGCACCAATTTGTGCATGGGTGGGATTCCTCTGGGTGGTCTGCCGGGATCAAGCCAAAACCTGCAGTCCAACATTGCTGCAGCTCCTACCTGCTGCTCCCACTCATCCTGGCCCTACTGTGCCTGCCGCAGGCTCGTGCCCAATCAGTCCCGATAGGGAGAGGCTCACACTGCCACAGCAGCGCTCACCAGCCATAAGCCCTGCATCTGATGCCCTTCCAAGGGGAGTGGCCTGTGGGATCAGGCTGAAACAGTGCACGTCATAGAGAGCAGTTGAGCAGCCTTAGTATATCATTAGCATATCACACTTTGATTGGTTGTTTGGTTGTTCTGCCATTTAGTCTATTTTATTATATAGAATATGCATTACCTATGGACACAGACTATAGGGTGGTGAAGGCCTGGAGTAGGGCACAAGCTGGGTGGAGGGGGTCAATGTAAGGAAGCAGGGGGACAGCTTTACTACTCTCAATATTAAAGATTTTTTCATGTAAATTTAAAAATAAATAAAAATACACAGTGAACATTTTTGTCATTATCTTTCACAAATTCATTTGCAATGCCTTTAGTGTTTCCATTTATTGATATACCATAATTCAGTTAATTATTCCCTATTTTGGATATTTTGGTCAGTTATAATTGTTTGCTCTAATAAGCAATGCTAGAAATGAATCCTTGTAGTTAAATGATAATTTCCAATCTTTACCTAATAGAACCATAGTTCATAGATGTGAAGTGCTAGCATGAAAGTTTGTAGAATTTTGGCAAAGTATTGCCAAATCACCTTCCAATAGTTGTACCACTTTAAATTTGAATGTGATGTATGTGTTCCTGCCCCTCCACCCAAATGGAGCATTAGTGTTAATGTTTCCCAATTGCCTTTTTGTGTTTATTTTTTATTAAGTTGTATATCCTATATAATAAAAGGCTAATATGCAAATCAACTGAACAGTGGAATGACCCGTAGCTATGATGAGCATTGACCACCAGGGGGCAGACGCTCAATGCAAGAGCTGCCCCCTAGTGGTCAGTACGTTCCCACAGGCTCACAGCTGGTGAGGGCAATGGCGGTGGTGGGAGCCTCTCCCGCCTCGCCTCTGCAGCAGTGCTAAGGACCCCTCAGGGGATGTCCAACCGCTGGCGAGAGTGCACAGGCCAGGCTGAGAGACCCCCCTCCCCACACCCAGTGCACGAATGTTGTGCACTGGTTTTTATTATAAACTAGGGGCCCGGTGCATGAAATTCGTGCACTGGGTGTGTGGGGGGGTGTCCCCGGAGTGTCCCCCAGCCCAGCCTGCCCCCTCTCACATACTCGGAGCCCTCAGGGGATGTCCTACTGATGGCTTAGGCCTGTTCCCTGCTCCTGTTGGGGAGTGGGCCTAAGCCGCAGTCTGGCCTCCCTTTGTGGGAGGCCACCGGGCTGATCAGGGGAAGGCACCAGCCCCATCACTCCGCTGCTGCCGC